ACCGCCTCATTCTCGTCTTACACAAAGGACTTCCAGTGTATGAAAGTTTCACCCATCACTGACGGAAAAGGTCGAGTTATGAGCCGATATGGAGTGTCGTTAGACGAGCACAATTGTATGGAAGATATGATACGATAAGATGAGGAGATACGGCTGTCTTGTGCGAGGTGCACTCCAGAATGAAAATCGGACCATAACGTTGCCACCCATCGTCTTTATGGGTACGTCTCCTACTAAACCCTTTATGCATCTTTCCCATCCGTTTCCACGTCAATCATCGCGACCGCTTTTTTGAAGTGCTGTGTGTCTCGTCTGCCTCCAGGGACTTTCGGTGCATTGTTGGTTTGATGGTGAAATGCCCACATGCCATGCGGGCGTCTTGGTTCGACACCCGGCCGCTATAACTGTGAAGAAGGAGCAAGGGTTACATCATTCTGCACTGCAGCGTTCGAATTAGTTGTAACAATTCAGTGTGGGAACACAGCATTCACTGCAGCATGCGATTCTTCCACTTGAGGCATTACAACTGCACTCAAACTGACGAATCTCTTATCGCGCAGATATGTTTTGTAATATGCGATATGAAAGAAATACCAATGGAGCTGAATGGTCTCTTACACCATCATGTGCGATATTTTTCTCCAACCATGTTTGATGTGGAGAGCACTCAGGCCAAAACATGTCCCTCACTCAATAATGTTCACTTTCCAGTCTTGGATCAATCGTAAATATTATAAAGGCAAGAGGAAAGTAACACTAGCAGCGACGGCTGTGACTGCAACTGCAGTAGGGATTATGTTTGCGCCACTATATGTATAATAAGAATATTGAAAGCAATTTGCTCAGAAATAAAGATTATAGCGAATATTGTGAAAGACACAGCCAAGAGAATCATCCAATGGTCGCAGAGAATGAGCAATAAACAATAAACTCTTCCACGCTGGGCGAGTTCACCACTCGCCTAGCCCTACTTAAGCGAGGCCAACTGATAACGGTCAGTTGGCGGACAGTCGTCTTCCGCTGCTCACTCGCCCTTTTCCCCCATTTTCTTATATGCCTTTCATACAGAATAAATATGTGTAGTCTATAATGTTATGTTATGTACAATTAACAAACACCGCTACACCCTTCAAACATAAAGGCCCATACACCCTTTTGATCTGATATGGAGGTCTCGGGAAGATTCTTTAGTTTATTTAGGGAATAAAGTTCAAAATTTCTTTCCAAGTAATGGTACCAAATTCAACAGGGGTCATACTTTTATCTTCTCGCTTATCCAAAAATACCGTTCCTATCCTCCCCCTTTTTTTCTACCCCTCTTCGTCTTGATATTCACTACGTCAGAAGAAGACCCTGGAAACAACCATAGGACGAGCAACTGTATACAGGTGAATAATTCTTTATTCTTAATTTAAAAAATCAAAGAACAGGTTCCAAACCTGGGAGAAAAAGGCAGGAGAGAAGAGGACGCTCTTCCCCTCTTATTTTGAATGGGTAAAAATGCGCACTAATTATGTTTTGGATTAAAACCTCGCAATGCGTAATGCTGCGTTGTATTCAAATAATACGGTCCTGGCGACGAGATCCTCCTTCACAGATATCCATTATAAACATTATTCATAAATCCATTATACGTCGAAATTGGGTGCGCAATTGAGTGAACTGTACAATATTCGCGTGATAGAGAACCAAGGCTGCGGGAGAAAGCAAGACTTTCACCCGGTTCGGGAGGTTTTCTTCAATTTTAGTGCCTCAGATGATTCTAGGGCAAGACCTCAGTTTTGCTCTAGTCTATGGGGTTACTGTTAGTTTTTTTTTCCATTAAAATCAGGCAACATTGAGACAACGTCTCGATGATTAGTCTGCTGCGTTCACGGGTTACCGCGATTCCGCGACGTTAGATAGTTAGACGTCATAAAGGTTCGTTTCATAACAATTTGTGCGTTGACACAAATTGACCGATACTGAGACAACCATTAATAGTTTAGTACACATACCGTATAAAATATTTTTCTTTGAAAGGACTCGCTCGCCATAGTGACTCAAATAGTTAACAGTGCACT